TCCGAGGCGGTGGCCTGCTGTCGTACATTCTGCGTCCCTCGGCCTGCCCTGGGCTTACTGTACGTCTTGGTGGCGGTCTTCCTCGTCATGTACATGATTTGGCTCCTGAATTACCACCTTGTGCTGCATGTCGCCCGGAAGGACTTCCTGGCGTGCGCTTTCTTGTGAGCGGCAGCGAGGCCCGCCGCCTGTTTGCCTCCCCCCTTGCTTGGTCTTGTTTTTTGTTCGCTTTCCTCTTCCCGTGCGCTTATTTTGGCCGTCGCCTCTGTGCTTCGCCCCCTGACGCCGCCCGATCTTCTCGCCGCGGTCGCGATCAAACAAGTATCCCCGCCAGGCTCTTGTCTCTTTTCGCCCCTCCTTCTCCCAGTGCGCAAATTTAGGCCGTTGCCCGCGTGCGTCGTTCCTGGACGCCGCCCAGCCTTTTCGCCGCGGTCGCGATCAAAAAAGTATTCCCGCCTGTCCATCCAGAAACGATGCCCATGAGAGCCGACGGGGGGAGAGAGGAAGAGACACGCGCAGTCAAACAGCGAAGGAGGCCGGCCTTGACGGCGTGTTGGGGCCATATCCGGGCCCGCGTTGGGCGGGGCGAGGAGGAGGAGGAGGAGGAGGAGGAGGAGGACGACGAAGACGGAGGAGGCAAGAGGAGCATGACGAGGATAATGAAGACGGGACCGAGGAGGACGAAAACTAAAAGAGCGAAGGGGAGGATGAATTGGAGGGGGAGGAGTAGATGAGGACGAGGGGGGAGATGATAACGAGGAGGAAAAGCAGGACGAGGAGAGGTGGATGATGATGATGATGATGATGATTTTGATGTTGGTGTTGATGGGTATGATGATTGATCGTGGTGATGATGGTGGTTGTGATGATGATGGTGGTGCAGAAGATGATTATGATGGTGACGATGGTGATGATGTTGTTGTCATGATGGTGGTGATGATGACGATGGTGGTGAGGATGATGCGGATGATGGTATTGATGCTGATCGTGATGACGATGATGATGGTGCGGATGACGATGCTGATGCTGATGCTGGTGATGATGGTAATGATGCGGATGATGTGGATGATGATGATGGTGCTGATGATGACGATGCGGATGATGACGGTGGTGATGATTATGATGACGTTGATGATGATGATGATGATGATGATGATGATGATGATGATTAGGATGATGAGGAGGAGGAACATGACGAGGACGAGGACGAATAATATGGACGAAAACGAGTGGACGAGGAGGAGGATCAGGATGATCAGGAGGAAGAAGAGGAGGAGTAGGAGAAGCAGGAGGTAGAAGAGGAGGAGGATAAGGACGATGAGGTCGACGAGGATGAGGACGGGGAGGGGGACGAGGACGAGGACGAGGAGGACGAGGAGGAAGACAAGGACGAGACGGCGTTTTGCGTGCCTCGGGTGTGCTTCTTGGGCCTCTTGGGGGGCCGGTCAGGGAGCCTCCTGGGTGCCTCTCGGGTGCCCCTTGGAGGCCTCTTGGGGCGCTCTTGGAGCCCTCTTGGGCTCCTCTTTGGAGCCCTGGGGGGGCCTCTGGGGGCCATCTTGGAGGCGGTCGGTCAAAAACGGGGGTCCTAAAGGTAGCTTCCCCCCTCGGGGGCCACGATCCTCGTGAAGGGTGTCGTAAAGTGACCCTCTCAGGGGCTGACAAAGGACCCTCCGACACATCGGGCCCCCTCCCCCAAAAAAACCAGGGAGGGAAAGGGGAGGGTTCCCCTCCCCAGGGGTCGTGGAAGAGGAAACAGACCCTCGTTTGACCACCAGTCGCCCAGAGTGCTGGTGGGATTACATTGCCGTCGGCCCATCCCGACACCGTGTTTGGGTAGCGGGTCAGAGGGCTCTTGAGTGTCTGTTGGGATCTCGTGGCAAGCTTTTCGGGGGCCTGTTGGAGGCAGCTTTGAAGCCTGATGTGGGCCTGTTTGGGGCCTCTTTGGGGCTCTTTGGGCGCTCCTGGAGTCTTCTGGGGCCCTCTTGAGGCGGAATGCTAGACTTTCTGGTTCGTGGTCCCCCTGCGGAGCCCCAGTCGGAGCCGTCTTGGAAGCCTCTTGGGCCGCCTTTTGGGCCGCCTTGGGCACCTCTTAAGCGCTTCTCGGGCCGTGTTGGAGCCCTCTTGGGGCCGTCTCGGGGCCGTCTTTGGGGCCTCTTCGGCCGTTCTGTGACGATCTTGGGGGTCTCTTGGGCTGTATTGGAGCGTCTGTACGGCGAAACGGCGAGAACGCCAGAACCTTCACAATCGATGATTTTGGCCTCTCGGGTCGCTCTTGGAAGGCCGCTTGGAGGCCTCCTGGGGCGTCTTGGGGGTTTCTTCAGCCGTCTGGAGGCCATCTTAGACGTCTTGCAGCGATCTTTCGGCGACTCGGGGCCCTCTTGGACCGTTTTGGGAGCCTCTTTGGGCCCTCTTAGCTCGTTTTGGGGCCCTCTGTGTCCCCATGATGCGTTCGTGCTGGTGGGGTGACCAGGGGCCGGGGGGGGGGTCGAATTCCCGGTTTGGGGTCCCTGAGGGGGGGATGATGGGGGTTGCAGAATCTCACACGCCTAGAGACCCACAAGGGGTCGGCGGATTTGTGTGTCCCTGGGCCCCTCCAGAGACTTGTGTCCTCTTGGGTGTCCGGGGCCCCTCTCCGAAGGCGGCGGTTTCGGCCAGCGAGCGGGCGGCGATGCGGCCGTTCCAGCTGTTCCATTTGCGAGTGCTCGTGCCTCGTGGGAGTCCCTGCGTTTATGACAGGTCGGCCACTCGTAGAAGCGACCCTTCGCCAGAAAGACCTTTGGGTGCGGGCCTTGCTTGCGCGTGGCCAGACGAGGCGGCACCCGTCGTTTGCACTTTGCAGTGTGCAGCGCCTCGTGCACTGTGCCTTCGACAGGGCTCGATCGCAATTAGCATCTCTATCTGCTGCCCGCGCTTGAGGACCCTCTGCGCCGCCAGCTACATAGTGGCCAGTGGCCAGGGGAGGCGGGTCCGGCGTGTGGCTCTGTAGCCCCAGAGCTCGGACGTCGTACCCTTGTCACACGGTGGGCCCCTGGAGGTCTGGACCCGTACGGTACTCCAGATTTCGTAATCAAAGGGAGGGGGTCTGGACCCTCCAAGACAAGCCATTTCAGACCTCCCCGTGGGAGAACCCTCCAAAACATCGTCCCCAGACCCCCCCAGGCCCTCAAAGATAGCCTGGAAGAGACCCCCCCCCCGAAAGGAGACCCCCCTCCCTTTATTACGAAATCTGGAGTAGATTCATCTGGCGTTGGCGCGCCGGCGACGCCGGCGAAGGCGTTCAAGGCTGAATCTTGCGATGCGGACGCGCCGCAGGACACGGTGACGACACTGGACCCGGCGGAATCCAACTTTGCACCATCGGGGTCGCGATCGAATCGAGGCTGTGCGGCCGAACACCTTTGCGCGCGCGCCGACCGCGCGGGCCCACCGTACCCAGGACCAGCCTCTCGTCCCCGGCCGTTTTCGGACGGTGCTGGGTGCCCGGCGAGGGCCCCGGGAGGCCGAGCGCTGCCGAAATAGGGGAACAACAAGTGGCATAAACATAACATGTCGGAGGTCCGCGCGGATTTCTCGGGTTGGCGCTGGACCCCCCTCCCTGGCGCGCGGAGCGCGCCAGGGGCGGCGCCGGAGCCAGGGGCGTGCGTCCTTGCTCGCGGAGGGGCGGTCCTTGCGCGGGGAGCGCAGGCCCGCGTGCGGGGACGTCCCGTTGGCTTGCGACGGCGTCGGGGACAGCGGCCAGGGCATGGCTTCACCAGTGGGGAGAGGAAGAGGGGGGGGCGGGGAGCGGCAAAGGAGCTGGAAGAGGAGGAGGAGGGGGTGGAGGAGGAGGAGGAGGAGGAGGAGGCGGAGGAGGAGGAGGAGGAGGATGAGGAGGAGGAGTATGCTGAGGGAGGACGATGAGTCGAGCGACAGGAGGATTTGGAGGAGAGAGGACGAAGAGAAGGAGAGGAGGGAAGAGGAGGCAGGCGGGAGGATGAGAGGAGAGGGAGGAGGGGGGAAGGAGGAGGACGGCAAGGGGGCGCCTGCAACGCCTGCCCAACGCACAAACCCAAATTGTGCGTCCAGGTCGCCAGTGACAGGGCACGGATGAGAAAGGGAGGAGGCGGATGATGATGATGATGATGATGATGATGATGATGATGATGATGATGATGATGATGATGATGATGATGATGATGATGATGATGATGATGATGATGATGATGATGATGATGATGATGATGATGGTGATGGTGATGGTGATGGTGGGTGATGGTGATGATGCTGATGCTGATGCTGATGCTGATGCTGATGCGATGCTGATGCTGATGCTGATGCTGATGCTGATGCTGATGAGTGATGGAGGATGAGGATGAGGATGAGATGATGAGATGAGGATGATGATGATGATGATGATGATGATGATGATGATGATGATGATGATGATGATGATGGTGGTGGTGGTGATGATGATGACGGTGATGGTGATGGTGATGGTGATGATGGTGATGGTGGTGGTGGTGATGATGAAAATGATGATGATGATGATGAGGATGAGGATGAGGATGATGAGGATGAGGAGGATGAGGATGAGGATGAGGATGAGGATGAGGATGAGGATGCTGATGATGATGATGCCGATGTTGATGCTGATGCGGATGCTGATGCCGATGCTGGCGATGATGATGATGATGATGATGATGATGATGATGATGATGATGATGATGATTATTCTAATGACGACGACGACCACGATGACGACGACAATGAGGAGGACGACGAGGAGGAGGATGATGATGAAGGAGGGGGAGGAAGGAGAGGGATGATGATGATGATCATGATGATCCTGATCATTCCGATGATACTGATGATGATGCTGATGATGAGGAGGAGGAGGAGCAGGGTGGAGGAGGAGGAGGAGGAGGAGAATAAGGAGAAGGACGGGACGGAGGAAAAATGGAGAGGACCAGCGAAGTCGCGCCCAGTTGGCTGTGGAGCTGGCGGCCCACTTGACGGTGCAGGCGCGCGGGGGATCCTTTCTGGAATGCGGATCGTCGTCGTCGTCGTCGTCTCCGTCGTCGTCTACGCCATCGTCTCTGTCGTCGTCTCCGGTCGTCGTCGTCGTCGTCGTTGTTTCCGTTGTCGTGTGCATTGTCGTCCCCGTTGTCGTCGGAGGAGGAAGCGGAGGAGGAGGAGGAGGAGGAGGAGCAGGAGGAATAGGAGGAGGAAGAGCAGGATGAGAAGGAGGAGGAGGTGGATAAAACGTGTGGGGCGGTGTGCCAAGTGCCAATCGACATTCACTTCAGCATTTAAGTAAGCGCCACTGGGATACTCGGGGCGATTCCAGGATGAGGAAAGCTTACGACAAGCTGGCCAGTGTTGACAGCGGTGGTTTGTTTATCTCTGCCATCTCTACTCCCGAAAGAAGAAGACGCCGTGCACGTCAGAGGTGCATGGGCAGGAGCAGTAGCGCTGGCACGACCTCCGCCGAGCGCAGCGAAACAATTGCATCTCTCGGCACCGCTGGTTCTATGGGGAGGGAAGGTATACATGCTGTCATGCACTCCCCTCTCGCCAAAAGGCCCAGAAGGTGGGCGACCCTGGAGAGCAGCGGCAGCAGGGGGCAGTGGAGGGAACGACACTCGGGGACCAGGACGAGCCTGGAGCCAGGGGAGAGGAGAGCGAGCGACAGGGGACGGCAGCCGAAAGGCAGGGAGGAGGGCGAAGGCCAGGAGATGGCCCGAGGGACGAGCCGGAGGGCCTCTTCTTGGAAGCGCGAGGACAACTTCCAGGAGGTCGATTTTAGCAGCCACGGATTTAGCAGCCCTTGCCTGGCTTCCGAGTTGGGGCAACATTCAAGCATTTGTGCAATTGACGTGAAAAAGGAACCGCTTGGCGCCGGCTTGCCGTTTGCCCGGCAGGCCCTGCCATGTTTCGTGCAAGGCGCCGAGTCCCTGGCAATTCTGGCGGCCAGCTCGTGTATTCACGTTTCCACGTGTTCCTTTGCCCCTCCCGCTTTCGGGGGCCGCCTCTGGCGGAACGGGCGAACGATTCTGGTCGCAACACGCGCCCCAAGACAAGCACTGGGCGCTCACAAGCAAAATTGCGTATTCTTCCCACGGCAAGTCCGCCACCGCGGCTTGTTGGTTGGGCGATGTCGCGCGGCGTCCCCTGGCCCAACGAACCACATCGCATGCAACAACCGATTCGTTTTAGAATGCGACTCCTTATCTCTCTGTCTCTCTCTCTCTCTCTCTCCCTCTCCCTCCCTGCCACCATCCCCTCTTTCTACATTCGTAAGCATGTGATCTCCAGCCGCCCGCGACAAAACCCGCTCGCCTCCGATTCAAGCGCATTCGGCATGCCTCTTCCCATACCCTCGACGTCATGATTTTTCCGTGACGTCGACCCCTGGAGGTCTCGACCCAGACCCTGGAAGCAGTTTTTCATCCTGAGTTGTTTTTTGACGGTCCCGAGGCCCGGCAAGGGCCCCAAGAGGCGGAAAATAACAAGACACTTTCCGTTGTGTTTTTTTGTCACGACCCGAGGGGGTCTGGGATCCGGAGTCCCGGTAGAGCCACCATGGGGCAGTTTGGGGACGCAGCGCCGCGTATTGCCGCAGCATGGGCGCGTCCATGGCGTCGCACGGCGTCTGCGCTGGCCTCTGGGATCGCACGCTGCCAAAGTCGGCGGCGCACTCGGAGCGGAGGGCATACGGTGGGGACGCGCATCGAGCGCCCTGGGTTTCTTCGCTCCGCGCGCTGCGCGGTGACTTCCGGCGGCCGTCGAAGAAGCTGCTGTTGGACGGTGCGCAATGGGGGGTCATAAATGGGGGGGTAGCGAGGGTGGTCCGAAAAGGTACCCAAACGGTACCTAAACGAGCCCCCTGGGACTCCAGAGGGGCCCGACAGGGGCACGAAAGGGGACCGTTTCTGACCCCCCCCCCCCCATTTAGACACGAGCTGAACTCGGACCCAGCTGAACTCGGACCCAGCTGAACTCGGACCCAAGCTGAACTCGAACCCAGCTGAACTCGGACCCAAGCTGATCTCGGACCCGGAATCCCGGACCCAAAAACTCGGACCCAGCTGAACTCGGACCCAGCTGAACTCGGACCCAGCTGATCTCGGACCCAGCTGATCTCGGACCCAGCTGAACTCGGACCCAGCTGATTTCGGACCGAGGCCCGCGCTGCAGCGAGAGCGTCCGGGTCCGAGATCAGCCGGGTCCGAGATCAGCCGGGTCCGAGATCAGCCGGGTCCGAGATCAGCCGGGTCCGAGATCAGCCGGGTCCGAGATCAGCCGGGTCCGAGACCAGCCGGGTCCGAGTTCAGCGGGTCCGAGATCAGCTGGGTCCGAGTTCAGCCGGGTCCGAGTTTCCGGGTCCGAGATCAGCTGGGTCCGAGTTCAGCCGTCGGCTGATCTCGGACCCGGCCGCGCCCGAACTCGGCCGGCCATGTGCCCTCGCCCCCTCCCCGTCTCTCAGGACCGCAAGGCAACAAAGAGCCCATCGAGCCATGTGGAATGTGCGTTCCCGATAATCCCATAAGCCCTTCAGGGCGTGAGTGGTCTAGCGAGCTCGTTCTGCTAAACCCCCTTCTTCCCCTTCGGGGAAAGGGTTCCCCCTCCCCCTACCCCCTCCCCCTGGGCCTGGAGGCACCTTCCCGCGAGGAATATGAGCGCCCAAGATGGCCTAAGATTGTTCCCAGAGGGCCTCAAAGAGCTCAAGATAGCCTCCAAGGTCAAGCAAGATTTCCCAAGATGGTTCAAGATAACTATCAACAGACATCCAAGAGCTCTCGAAACCGCCCCAGGCCGGCTCCAAGTGCCTTTCGAGCCCTCCAATGAAGCCCTCAAGAGGCCAAAATCCTTGAAATTCATTTTGTCGGGTCGACTCGCCTGGCGACTGTTGTTGGATGGGCTGGCGGGGACACGCGAAGCGAGAACAATTTCTGCATCGAAACTTTTCTGAACACCTGGGGAACACTATCATCGTTGTCAGATGTTGAAGCCCTTGAGAAGAGTAAAGGACAGAGGAAGGAGGAGTATGCAAAGTCATTCCAATAAGAATGAAGATGACAGGAGAGGCAGAGGTCATGAAGCAACACCGGACGAGTGTTTCATTCGAATTCGAGCTGCGTTGGCGGGCACAGCAGCGCAGCGTTGGCGCGGAGCTGGTCTTCCGTCAGCGGCTGAGTCTCTGATGTGAGAGGCTGGGTCTCAGCCAAACCCGCGCCGCGCGGAGCTCCGTCGTCAGACGCCGCCGCTCGAGCCTCTCCGCCGATGGGAGCGAAGAGGTGGCGAAGCTGAGGCAGCTGAGCGAGCTTGACTGCCTCATTCCAGAGCGCCTCATCGACCTGGCCGGGCGCGAACTTCACCAGCCCCACCGCGTGAAGTTCCGCGCCTGGCGCCTTCGTTCCCAGGACTTCCACGAAGCTCGCATCCTGCGGCGTTTCCAAGGCACCGCCGAAGTCCACCACGATAACGCCCCCATCGACGGTAGTGAGAAGACCCTTCACGAAAAAGCGCCCGGCAATTCGAACGGAGGTGCCATCGCCGACCTCGTAGCGGAGACAACTAAAAGATTAACCCGCCCTTTTTCAGGAGGCATCATGGGCGCGAGCGGGATGTTAAGTTATAATGAAGCAGCAACCTGCCGGTACTGAGCGTAGTTCATGCGCTCCCCCACCGGCAAGGCGCCCACGTGCGCCGCGCCGCTGCCCAATGAAACATCCATGGCAACCAGCGCCCTCCTAAAGGCCGGGTGAACCTGCAAACGGAGGCACCGAAACACCTGCAAACGGTTTGCCGACCCCCAATCCATTCCAGACGCCGGGAAACCATCAAGATCCACCTCCTATCGCCATCATCACGTGGGCGACCAACCTCCCCCGGTAACATTACACTGAACCGGCAACTTGTCGCCGATACAAACATCCGCCGCAACGGTTCTGCCCCCCAGGTGAGTCCAGTAGCCTCCCGACCCTCTTTCCCCTTCTCCTGCCCGCCCTCCTCATCCTCCAGCTGCCGTTTTTCCTCCTGCCCTTCCTCTTCGTCCAGTGCCCCATCCATCGTGATGAGCCCCTCCTGCACGCCCCTCAAGTAGTATGCGAGGCGGGACACGACAACCCAAACACTGAGCAATATCTAGAACAGCATTCCAGAGAAACCCCGAAAGCGCCTCACAGAAACCCAAGAAGCCACACAAGGCCCCCTCCAACAAGAACAGTGGATTGAACAGCAGCATCACATGCAGCAGCACCACCGCGCGCACGTCCGGAAAGGAAACTACGACGCCCCATCCCGCTCGCGCATGCTCAGCGCAACGATTGCTGCAAGCACGGCCCTCGACACAAATGCGCAGGGACGCAAGTACATACGATAATCAATAAGTTCCATCAGCTCTTTTTCAGAACTGCGCCAAGCCACCGCTCTTCTCCATGCCACCATCCAGAGAAGGCCACCTGCTGGCGAATTGCACCGGACCCAGGATCGAGCTACGAGATCGAGCTACAAGAAAAACGAGGCTGCCCATCATTGAGGCAACGGAAGCGCCTCGCAGCGACCATATGAAAGCCTCCCTTGCACACCCTGGCACCACTGCCCTTCCACTCTCTCTGCTTCGCTCCCCCTTTTCAGAATGCTTCCCTCCGCCATTCCCCTCGAGCACCTCTGACGGCCCCCACCTTTTCCTCTCCCCCCTCTCTTTCGGCAGCGCTGCCACGTTCCTTTCTTCATCACCAACCCCCGCCAATCCCCGTCGATCGCTGGTTTGGAACTCTCCAGAAGGAAGAAGAACCACCGGCGCCTGCTATGAGTACCCACTGCGGCGCCTAAGAAACCCGCATCGCTGGAGCGTCCAGAAGACTAGCACTGAGACCGAATTGCACACCAATTAAATACATAGTACAAGGTGCACCGGCCCCGACGTGACCCCAAACAGATACCACCAATCTATGTGCAGCGTTGTATCACGCACATACGTTAACCTTTCCCAGGAGCTACAATGAAAAAATCATGA